AAAAAGACAAGAAATAAGTATTGGCAAGGATGTGGAGAAAAGGGAACAGTTGTACACTGTTGGTGGGAATGTAAATTGGTGCAGCCACAATGGAAAACAGTATGAAACGTCCCTCAAAAATTATAAATAGAAATACCATATGATCCTGCAATTCCACTTCTAGGCATTTATCTGAAGAAAGTGAAAGCACTAATTCAAAAAGACATATGTACCCCTATGTCATCACATTATTTACAATAGCCAAGATATGGAGGCAACCAGGATGTCCAATGATAGGCAAATGGATAAAGATGTGTGTGGAGTTACACATCTCTCTCTCTCTCTCTAGTTATCTCTATAAATATCTATCTTTCTATCTACCTAGCTATATATAGATACAATGGAATATTAGCCATAAAAAAGAACAAAATCTTGCCATTTGTGACATGGATGGACCTAGACAGTATTATGCTAAGTGAAATAAATCACCCAAAGACAAATACCATATGACTTCACTTATATGTGGAATCTAAAACGCAAAACAAATGAACAAATAAAACAGAAACAGACTCACAGATATAGAGAATGATGGTTGCTAAAGAGAAGGGGGATGGGGTTAGATGAAAGAGCCAAAGAGGGTTAAGAGGTGCAACGTTCCCGTTGTAAAATAAGTAAGGCACAGGGATATAATGTACAGACCAGGGAATATAGTCAGTAATATTTTAAAAACATTGTATCATGACATATGGCAACTAGACTTGTGGTGACCATTTTGTAAAGTGTATGAATACTGAATCAGTATGTTGTACACCTGAAACTTACACGATATAGTAGGTCAATTATTCTTCCACTAAAAAAATCAATGAAATTAAAAATTGGTTCTTTCAAAAGATCAACAAAATTGATAAAACTTGAGGTAGACAAAGAAAAATTAACAAAAGCAGGAATGAAGACACTACTCACCCTAAAAAAATTAGAAGTATCATAAAGGAATATTATTAAAATCTTTGTCCCCCCAAATTAGACAATTCGATTGAAATGGAAAAATTCCTTAAAGGACACCAATTATCCAAAACTGACACAAGGAGAAAAACTACATAGTACTGTATTAAGCAAATTTTGACTGAAAATTGATTGAAAGTCTTCCCACAAGAAAATTCTAGGGTCAAGTGCCTTCACTAAGGAATTCTAGCAAATATTTTAAAGAAATATCACTAAACTGCAAAACTCAAAAACTCTTCCATCCTACCAGAAAATAAAGGAGGGAACACTCCCAATTTTTTCTGTGAGGTCAGAATTCCTTTGATAGCAAAGTCACACAGAGATAGCACAAGAAATCTACAAAACTGTTCTCGCTCATCAATATAGATGCAAAATACACTAATAAAGTATCAGAAAACTAACTTGGCAACATATACAAAGGACCATACATCATGACCAAGTGGGATTTGTCCCAGGAAATGCAAGGTTAGTTTGACATCTGAATATCAATTAATGGATTATACCATATAAATAACCCCCCCCCGCCAAAGCCCACCCAACAGGATTATCTCAATAGATGGAAAAAAATTGGAACAGCATCTAAAAATAGATCAGCAGAAATAGCTGATTGTTGAAAGAGAAGCAAAGGCAATTCAGTAGATAGTCTTTTCACCAAATGGTGCTTGAACTATTGAGCATCCTCATGTTTAAAAAAAAAAAAAAAATGATCTAGGGGCACCTGGACGGCTCAGTTAAGGGTTAAGGGTTAAGGTTAAGGGTTAAGGGTTAAGTGTCTGCCTTCGGCTAGGTTCATGATCTCGGGGTCCTGGGACTGAGCCCCACATCAGGCTCCTCTGCTCATTGGGGAGTCCGCTTCTCCCTCTTCCTCTGCTCCTCCCCTGGCTTGTGAATTCTCTCTCAAATAAAATCTTTTTTTTAATGATTTAGATATAGAATTTATACTTGCACAAATATTTTCTCAAAATGGGTAATAGACCTAAACGCAAAACACAAAACTACAGAACACCTAGACAATAACATTGAACAAAATGCAGGTCACCTTGGATTTGGCAATGCTTTATACACAACACCAAAAATACAATCCTTGAGAAAAACTGGGTAATTTCAACTTGATTAAAATTAAAATTCTGGGCACACCTTGGGGGGCTCAGTCGTTAAGCATCTGCCTTCGGCTCAGGTCACGATCCCAGGGTCCTGGGATTGAGCCCCACATTGGGCTCCCTGCTCAGCGGGAAGCCTGCTTCTCCTTCTCCCACTCCCCATGCTTGGGTTCATGCCCTCTCTCTCTCTCTGTGAAATAAATAAATAAAATCTTAAAAAAAATAAATAAATAAAATTAAAATTCTCCTCTGCAAAAGATAGTGTTAAAAAACATGAAAATGATATTCATGTCATTAGGGCATTTCAAATTAAAGCAACGACATACCATTACATACCTATTACAATGGCCAAATTCCAAAACACTGACACCACCAAATGCTGATGAGGATGTGGAGCAACAGAGACGCTCATTCATTGCTGGTGGGAATGCAAAATGGTACAGCCACTTTGCAGGACAGTTTCTTACAGGGGTGCCTGGGTGGCTCAGTTGGTTAAGCGTCTGCCTATGGCTCAGGTCATGATCCCACGGTCCTGGGATTGAGCCCATGTCAGGCTCGCTGCTCAGTGGGGAGTCTGCTTCTCCCTTTCCCTCTGCCCTTACCCCTACTTGTGCTCTCTCAAATAAATAAAATCTTAAAAAAAAGAAGACAAATTATTACAAATCTAAACATACTCTTACTATATGACCCAGTAAATCACACTCCTTGGCTAGAACCAAGAGATGAAAACTTACATCCACACAAAACCTACACACAAATGTATATTGCAGGTTTATTCGTAACTGCCAAACTTGGAAGCAACCAGGATGTCCTTCAGTAGTGAATAGACAAACTGTGGCATATTTATATAATGAAATGTTATTAAGTGATAACTTGCACAGAGATCTTCAGAGCAGCTTTATTTGTAACAACCCCACACTGGAAACAATCCAAAAATTCACTAATAGCTTAATGGATAAAAAACAATTGTGGTATATGCATATAATGGAATAATACTCAACAATACAAATGAACAACCTATTGATACATGCAACAAGATGGATTAATTTCAAAATAGTTATGGATAGTGAGAAGGGCTAGAGTCCCCACTCCCCCAAATGTATATACCATATGACTCTGTCTATATAAAATTCTAGAAAATGCTTGTTGTTTATGAATTGTGGCAAAGGGTATTAGAAAGACTAAGATAAAAGGATTATAAAGGGACACATGGAATCTTTTGGTTGTGTTGAATATGTTCATTATCTTGATTGTGGTGACGGTTTCACGGTATATACATATGCTGAAACATAATACATTTCACACTTTAATATGTGCAGTTTATTTCATGTCAGTCATACCTCAATAAAGTTTTGAGAACTAAGTGTTCCCCATAAAGTCCCTATTTACCATCCCTCTTAGAAAGTCACATCTGCCAACTATTTTGGTTCTCCCATATCCCTCTCCCAATTTAGGAGAATGAACCCTGCCTCAATGTCAGCAAAAAATGGAGAGCAATGAAATCCATGTCCACTTCAGTCACTAGGAATGCTAGCTGGGTCAGGGAAGCCCTATCCTTGGATCTCTCTTTTGTCGATGCTGAGGTTCCTGCCTGTGTAGTTATGGCCACAACATCAACAGCCCAGGGAGGTACAGGAATCCACAAACCTTTAGACACTGACAGTGGCCTTGGCCACAGGAAATACAGATGTCTGAGGTCCAGAGAATTTCTATATTCTCATCCCGCAAAAATCATATGGACATTTGTAGATGCCTCTGCTAGAAGAGACACATATCCTCTCATTGGCCACATTCATCCCCACTCCATTATCTCAGTGTTTCTGTACCAATTATGAGCCTCACCTTGCCCTGTAGGCCTTCTAGTCAATGACACTTGCCTATGGGATTCTGGACATCAGGCACTGGCTCCTATGCAGATCTAGGAGACAGAAATCCCTCAAAAGTGCTGGGGAATATGGAACATTCCCTAGGAACAAGAGACCCAATTCATGTTTCCAGAAGAACTGGAGATTTTCACACCAACTATGCCTTCCTCAGAAATGAACTCTGGGCTCACAGGAAATCTTGCCGTCCAGGCCACAGGATGAGGCACACAAAGCTCTTCACTCTTTTCTAGCAAGCCTTGGGCACAATGCAACTTAGGCCAGCTAGACTGAGATCTGTTCTCTGCCATCCTGCTGACCCTTCTGAGGCACATGAAGTTGGTGGAAGAACCCAACTTTTTCTTAATCCATTCCACACAGTGAATAGACCCCACCACACAAACAACAGTAGAGATCGCCACAGTAGGCCTGTGTCACTGCATGAATCGGAGCAGCATGGGACAAGCAGTTCTAAAGATGGGTGATTTAGAAGACGACAAATGAGTTCACGGTTATTATGTTTAGTCAACATTGTTTATGAAGAGAAACTTGTCTGGAAATGCCCAGCAGCCTCCAGTTCAGATCCTCTTGGCCAGAGATGGATCATGTCCACTGAGAATCCAGTCACGGGGGAGGAAGTGAGGATCTCACTGGGCTCAGAACACTCTTGATTCCCTCCAGAGAACAGGAGGGGGAGCACAGGAGTCTGCCTTCCCCGAGCATACTGGAGTGACTGACACACACTGTGGGACCTTTGACAGCTGGTAGTAATGAGATGGCTTCTGCCACAGGCACTGGCAGTGATAGAACTCTGTCAAGAGCCCTGGATAGTTTAGAAAGTGCAATGCACCTATAAAAGCGTCCCACCTATGTGGTACTAACTGGGAATCTCCCCATGATACCTGTATGAATGTACAAGGTTCACCTGCTGGTTGATGGTTCCCTCACAAAGGGTACTCACAGAGATTTTTTCTGGTGTGAATCCTATCAGGTCGAACAAAGAGATGGAACATTTTCTGCATTCATAAGGCCTTTCTTTAGTGTGAGCTTTCTGATGCTAAACAAGTTTAAGAGATGTAGCTAAAGGATCATCAAAACTATTGCATTCATGAGGCTTTTCTCCAGTGTGAACTTTCTGGTGCCGAACAAGATGGGAACTTCTACTGTAGGCTTTCCCACATTCACTGCACACGTAAGGCTTTTCTCCAGTGTGAACCCGCTGATGTAGAATGAGGCTAGAGTTTCGGCTAAAGAATTTCCCACATTCACGACATTCATAAGGTCTTGCTCCAGTGTGAACTTTCTTGTGTTGAACAAGGTGGGAGCTACTAATGTAGGCTTTTCCACATTCACTGCACACGTAAGGCCTTGCTCCGGTGTGAACTCTCTGGTGTAGAATGAGGCTGGAATTGTGGCTGAAGCATTTTCCACATTCACTGCACTCATAAGGCTTCGCTCCAGTGTGAATTCTCTGGTGTACAATAAGGTTGGAGCTATGGCTAAAAAATTTTCCACATTCACCACACTCATAAGGCCTTTCTCCAGTGTGGATTTTCTGGTGCTGCACAAGTGTGTCTTTACGACTAAAGGCTTTCCCACATTCGCTGCACTCGTAAGGCCTTGCTCCAGTGTGAATTATCTGGTGCTGAACAAGTGTGTCTTTGCAGCTGAAAGCTTTCCCACATTTGCTGCACACATAAGACCTTGCTCCTGTGTGAACTCTCCGATGTTTAATGAGGCTCGAGTTATGGCTAAAAAACTTTCCACATTCAATGCATTCATAAGGCCTTGCCCCAGTGTGAATTCTCCAGTGCTCAATAAGGTGGGAGCTTTGGCTAAAGAATTTCCCACATTCACTGCACTCGTAAGGCCTTTCTCCAGTATGAAACCTCTGGTGCTGCACAAGAGTGTCTTTGCGGCTGAAGGCTTTTCCACATTCACTGCACTTATAAGGCCTTTCGCCAGTGTGAATTCTCTGGTGTTGAACAAGGTGGGAACTTCTGCTGTAGGCTTTTCCACACTCACTGCAGTCATAAGATCTTTCCCCAGTGTGAACTCTCTGGTGTTGAACAAGTGTGTCTTTGCGGCTGAAGGCCTTCCCGCATTCACTACATGTGTAATGTCTTTTTCCAGTGTGAAATTTCTGGTGCATTTTTAGGTGAGACAAATGAATGAAGGCCTTTCCACACTCTTTACACACATGTGATATTTCTCCACTGTGAACTTTTCTGTGATTAGTAAGTGCTGATCTCTCCTTGGACATACTTCCACAAGGTGGGAATCTAAAAGGTCTTACTTCAGTATCATTCACCCGGTTGCCAAGGAGAGTAAAGGTATTCAGGAAGCCCTTCCCATTGTCAGTGCAATTGAAAAGCACCAGTCCATCATGGTCTCCCTGGTGTTGGCCAAGACTGGCGCTGTGTGGGAAAGATTCCATGAACTCAGTCCTTTCGTATGGAATCATCCCATTGCCAGTGGTCTGGCAAAAGAAGAGGCCAGACCTGTCCAGCAAGTCCATCCCTTCCTCCCTGCAAGTAAAGGGTCTCCCTAACATGTGGACTGCACAGCTCTTCATATATGAGGCCCCACTAACACCCCCGCTGAAGAGATCCTCTCCACTATAACGCTTTTGGTGCTGGTAAAAGTTTGCACTGATCAAGAATCCTCTCCCACATGGGCCACGTGTGTACAGTTTCTGCAAGGGGTGTGATCCCTGGTGTTCAGCCAAGTGCAAAATGTCTTTTAAGAGCGGGTCACACACCTCACATGGGTGGGCTTTCTGGATAAATGCACCTGACTCGGGAGTCCTGAGCTGCGACAATCCTATAGAAATGCTCTGCTCAGAAGGAGTCTCCTCATTATCTGTTTCACGCCAACAACCTGAAAGCAAAAAGATGCTGGTGAGGTACATGTTGACTTTGGTGGACAGCAGCAGCCCCATCACATGTGTGTGTGTGAAACACCGAAGAATGAGGGCACTGGCTTGCTGGTGGGACAAGGGAGGCAGGGTCAGGGTGAGGAAAGGCCTACTGTCATTCCCAGGTCTCTAAAGGTCATAGTAAGGGTAGACACAATGGTGGTACATGGTCCAGGGAACAGAGAAGAGTTTTCCAGCTCACTCCTCTATGGAGTAGGGCCTTGGCTGCTGGTGCCAGCTGAGCTCTGTGCAGAAGGATGTGTCCAGGCCCAGGAAAATCTGACTGTGAATAAGTAGCTGGTTCTTAAGGATATGTGCACAACTCATCGCACATTAAAGTAGCCAGCACTGCAGAATGAATGAGACACAGAAGCTAGAAAAGGGAGGAAACAGCCAAGAGATGGAAGACAGAAGAGAAGTTACAAGTGGACAAAGTGCCAAGAATGGGGAAGGAAAGGCAGAAATGAGGTATCGCTATAGGCCTTGAGAAAAAAACACCGGTGGACACAAAGTAGGCTGAAAGTATGATCTGAACTCAGCACTAACGTGCCACTCCTCCAGCTCCCATTCTGCAGGGCCAGGTCCTCTCTGGGTCTCTCTCACTGTGGCTGGAGTCAGGTTGCCCTGTCAGACACCCAGGGCTTTCTGCCCCTCTCCAACTGGGCCACTAAATGGGATCTGAAGTTGTCAAGAAAACACAGGGCAGATGAATGGCCCAGGCAGTCCCACCCCACAGAGAAGAAAATTAAATGTTAAAAAACAGAGCCTCAAAGGAGGATTTAACAGAACAGCCCTGAGACATCCATGAGCAGTGACCACACCAGTACCTGTAATTCCTGGCATGCTCAGGCCCCAGGAAATGTCAACTACAGAATGAGGGCAGAACCTGGGACACCGAGGTACCACGGATCTGGACAGTTACCTGGCCAAGGAGCGCACAAGCCATGCTGAATCTGTTGAACAGACTGAAAAAGCCCTGAACCCCTAACCCAATTCCTGCAAGACTTTGGGCAGAGGGCGCCCGGGTGGCTCAGTTGGTTAAGCGACTGCCTTCGGCTCAGGTCATGATCCTGGAGTTCCGGGATCGAGTCCCGCATTGGGCTCCTTGCTCAGCAGGGAGTCTGCTCCTCCCTCTGACCCTCCCCCCTCTCATGTGCTCTCTCTCTCTCTCATTCTCTCTCTCAAATAAAATAAAATCTTAAAAAAAAAAAAAAAAAAAAAATTTGGAAAAAAAGTGTTGGAACTGCTCAGGAAGGGAGGAGATACTGCACACAGCCCAGCCCTGGTACCCACAGCCCTCCCTACTCTGGGAACCAAAGAAGGGAGGAAGAAGAGTCACTGAGCTGGCTGGACAAAAAGAGCTGTCTCTAGGAAACAGGGGAATAACCAAACCCAAGGGACACTGGAGGGAACGTGAGGGCCTGTGGAAGGCAGCCTCTAAGACAGCCCTGGGACTGTCTACCTCCCGATATTCCTGCCCTTGTGTAAGCCTCTTCCTTCCTGTAGGCTGGACTGTCTGACCCATTTCTAAGGATAATGGGATGTCACTTTCAAGATCAGGTTAGAAAAAGACCGGATTCCATCCTGGGCGTTCTCTCACTCACTTACTTGGAGAGAAGGCAGCTTCCATGTTAGGAGATACACTAGAGAAAGGCCAACATGACAAGGAACCGAGGGAAGCCACTGGCCAACAGCCAGAGAGGAACTATTCTCACACTTCAACAAGCCACAAGAAACAAAATCTTGCGAACAACCACATGAGTGAGTTTGTAAGTGGATTCTTCCTGAGACTGGCCTTCAGATGAGAACACAACCCTGGCTGACAGCTTGACTGAAACCTCATGAGACAGCCTGAGCAAAAAGCACACAGGTAAGCTGTGACCAGGTCCCTGATGCACTGAAACAGTGAATTTTTACTGTTTTAAGCCACTAAATTGTGGGGTAATTTGCCATATACCAGTAGATAAAACAAAGACTTACCCAGTGAGGCCACAAGTGCAAAGTTCTCCAGCATCACATCACGGTACAGGAGTCTCTGAGCTTCCTCAAGGAGCTCCCACTCCTCCCGGGAGAAGTACACGAACACATCCTCGAAGGTCACACAGCCCTGTCACGACGGGGGACAGCTGAGCCCACAGGCAACAGGGGTTTCCTGTCTATCCATTCACACAACTACCCCTGGTCCCTCTCCTTCCAGCCTCTCACCTCAGAGGAGATATCAGGCCTTGGCACCATTAGCGCCTGCTCTCTCCTCATGTCTCTCTGATCACTGTGTGCGGCCTGGAGCCAAGCAGGTGGGCAGATAAATACTGTGTAAGCTGTGGGTCTTCCATGAAGGGCACCAAACTCTCTTGCTGGCCAGTTCACCTGGTGTCTTCCAGGCCATGCCTCCCAGACACAACCTTAAGGCCATCAGTTCACACTTCTCCCAACATGTACATCATTCTTGGAACCACCCCTCCTTCCCAGTTGGAACCATCTTTACCAACAACAACTTTCTGGTTCACAACATATGCACCTACAGGGCACACACACCCCCATGCCACTCCGCACGTGGTGTGTGGGAAGTACTCATATATCTTTGTGAGAGGAACCGCTGTCACCCAGCGCCTACGCAAGAGACCCAGTCCTCAGTTCCAAGTTTCAACTTTCTTGTTATTAACTGCATTGCCGCCATGACCTGGAGATACTCCCTCCTAAATGAAACACACAGCTTCACCCCATTCCACCTATTGGCCCCCACCTTTTGAACTTCTGCAACCAGTACCTCTCCCAGAACTAAAAACCTATATCCAGCTTGATGTTTCAACTAAGGAGTCTCTGGGACTTCTTAAACTAAACATGGGAAGAGCCTACCTCCCAAAATAATCACAGAAAATTACTCCTGCTACCAGCTTCCCTATCTCAGTTGATGGCATTTCCATCACTCAACCAGGTAAAGAAAACAAAACAAAAAAACCAAAAACCCCCAGGGTCACCCACAACTCATCCCTTTCTCTCATTTACCCTTCACACCAGAAAATCTGGTCACCCTGCTTAAAAAACAGATACAAAATCCACCAACATCTCTTACCTCCACAGCCACCTCTCCGGGCCAGTTACCATCAACACTCACAGCCTATTGCAGTAGGTGCCCCACTCGTACTCAATGCTCTGTTCTCAACCAAGGAGCAGCAGAAGGGAGTCTGTTAAAATCGGAGTCAGGTCACCTCTCTCTTCTGCTCCAAATCTCCCATGTCTTTCACCACCCTCAGAATGAGGCCCAGCTCCTCAGCCTGCCATTCCTGTCTGACTCCTGACCCTATTCCCAACAGACAATTAAGATCTGTGGTTCCTTGAGGATACCCACTTCAATCTTACCTCCCAGCATTTACACAAGGCTGTTCCTGGGCCCAATACACCCTTAGTCTTCATCCTACTGGCTGCCAGAAGTAGGAACCTCTCTATATAACTCCTGGCCTGAATTCAGAATGCTGGGCTAGAAATGACCTCCCCCCCAATTTAGGGTCCCCAGACTCAAATGCAGACAGAGGGAAAATTAAAGAGTCCTAGAATATCACTATGTCTCATCAGAAAACCCAGTGGGCCCTACTTTAAAAGCAAATACCAAACTCATACACTTCCCTAACCTGCACTGCCACCACTCTGGTCCACCCACCATCAACATTCACCTGGTCTATTGAAGTTAGCTCCACTCTGGTCTCCCTGCCCAGCCCCATGCCCCCCAGTCTTTCCGCTCTGCAGCCAGACGAGTCTGTTAACACCTAAGTCAGATCATCTCCCTTCTTTGTTCCAAGTCTTCCATGGCTCCCACTACCATCAGAACATAAGCCCAGCTCCTCAGGCTGCCGTTCCCGGCCTGACTCCTGGCCACCTGCTGTGTCTTCTCACCAGATGTAACAGGGACCCTCGGTTCCTGGAACACTCCTGACTCATTCCCACCGCAAGTATTTGTACCAGCTGGCTCCTGCACCTTGGAAACCCTTGCACACCTCATCCCATCGATGCTAGTACTGGGAACCTCGCCACATATCCGCCGGGAGTGACCGCCCTCCGCCGCCTTTACGCTCAAGAGCAGGGAGCGCTGAAGGCTAAGTGAGGAAGGTCCTTGAACACGCCACCCCCTACATCCGCGTCGGTGAGGGCCTGAGGGACCCTCTGCTCACCTGAGCCCCATCCATCAGCGCCAGGGCTGCCATGGGATCCTGTGAGCAGAACCGGGTCGTGAGAAGCGGGCAAACCAGACAGGCCCTGCGGGATCAGCCGGAACCCCAAAGCTCCACCAGGCGGGGAGACCTCGGGCCGACCGCCGCCCTCCGAGCCCGTCTCCCCCGCGTGAAAAAGCGCACAGGCTTAGGGCGCCGCGGCCGGGGGCGTACGAGGACAGAGCGCGGATGCGAAGGCCGCGGGAAGGGCGCAGCCTCGGGGGACACCTCCGCGCAAGGCAGCCGGTCCCACGACGGGGCTCATGGAGAGCAACAAAGGCGCGTGTTTTACCGTCCTTCCCTGCTCGGTTCCGAAGAGCCGCGGGGGAAGCGGACCCGTCCCAGCCCCAGAGCCTCTACCGCCGGTGCTGATAGTCCCGGCACAGGCAAAAGACGTCACGACGCCGACGCCGAAAGTCCCTCCTCAGCCTCGCAGGGCGGCGGGAAACGCCTCTCTTCCGGTCTGTCGTAGGCACGACGTAGCTGCGGCGAGCACAGATCTCTGGGTAATGTAGTTGGTACCTGCATCAACGAGGCGATGGGCATCTTTCCGGTTTCTCCTGGCAACTGCAAAGCCGCCCGGGGCGGAGGCCGATTGGAGGAGAAAGATAAGGGAGCAATACGGTCCAGTAGTGCCAAAGCTCCTCTTAAAGGGGACGCACCCATATTTCTGTGGTCACCTGGGACAAAGCCACGTCCTCAGAGGTCTCCAGCACGTGATCCAGTCTTTTAATCCTGAGCGAGCTGCTTCACCTCTCTGAGCTTTGGGGACTGAGATTTATTTACTTGTTTGTTTGTTTGTTTTTAAAGATTTTATTTATTTCACAGAGAGACACAGCGAGAGAGAGGGAACACAAGCAGGGGGAGTGGGAGAGGGAGAAGCAGGCTTGCCGCGGAGCAGGGAGCCCGATGTGGGTGGGGCTCGATTCTAAGACCCCGGGATCACGACCCAAAGGCTGACGCGCCCAACGACTGAGCCACCCAGGCGCCGCGGGGACTGAGATTTAAATTGAATAGTGCATATGCCTCGCTGGTGGGGCCTTTCGGTAGTATCATTAAATGTTCCTCTAATTCGTTGATTCCCAAATTTAAGCCCCTGATAGGCAGTATCATCATCACCTGTGAACTTACTGAAAATCAAAGTTCTCTGAGCCAATCTACACTTTCGGACATGTAAGCCCCGGGGGCGGGGCCCTAGCTTAAGCTTGAGAACTGGAACTCTCTTGAAAAGTCATGACCAGGGCACCTGGGAGGCTCACTCAGTGCTTGGTGGAGAGCCTGCTTCTCCCTCTCCCTCTGCTGCTCCGCCTGCTTGTGCATTTTCTCTCTGTCAAATAAATAAAATCTTAAGAAAAGTCAGGACTGTCCCCCTTCCTCCCAAATTTAATAACTAAAATGGGAAAATAGTACGATCTACTTCAGGGGAAATGAGATGATAAATACTTAACACAGGGCCTAGTGCTAAATACATACAAGCTGTTGTTGTTATTATTCATCATCACAAAGTTCTCACATGTTTATTCTACAAGGCAGGGGATGGGAGTGTCACTCCAGCAGCAGCTGGGAGATGACTTAGCTATCACTTAGGTTACCCAGGAGAGGGCTGATACCTGGTCATTTCCATTATTTGCACAGAGTTCTTGGTTTTGTCTGTGCTATGACATGATGATGAGATGGTTTTGTCTTTGTCTCAGTCTGTCATGGTCACTGAGTGGCCTTGACTGAGGTTGGTGTTCTGTAAACTTGTTTATGTTAGACAGGAGAATCCCAGAGTTTAGAGCTGAGTGCCAGATCAGCTACTAACGCCATGACCTGGCCCTCAGGATCCCTCTGAGCTCCTATTTCCCTTTCCATTATGACCCTTCCTGTGGAAAATTTCCACCTGTAATACAGAAGGAAATTAGCCCCATACAGAGAGTTCTAGGAAGAGGGAACATCACACACAAAGCTCTGAGCATGTGAGGATCCTGTGCATTGGGGAAAGTGGAAGTGCAAGCTGGGGAGATCTGAGGTCAGGGCCTTGGTGACCGGCCCCCCTGAGAGGCTGGTCAGAGAAGCCTCCCAGAGGAGAGGAGTTCTGAGTTGGGACAAGCTGAGGGCACAGATATGCCAGAGGGGACATTGTTCTAGAGTGCCCCGCTGCTGGTGAAGCCTGCAGAGATCCCCTTAGTCAGAGGTGACTGGACTGTGGCAGAACCAGGGACCTGGGTCCAGTTTGGGCAGTTGGTGAGGGGCACCCAGAGGCAAATGCAGGCAGAGCACACTCAGGCACACCACGAACATACACAGTTTGGGAGCAGACCCTACAACACCATCATACCCAGATCTACCAAAAATGTATTGGCAGACATACACAGCCAGAGACACACATACAGGACACAACGTCCTATGCAGATGCACACACAGATACCCACGAAGACAAAGACATAAGAGTTGGGGGTACTGTTATATTTATATCAACTGAAGACACATGCACCCACAAGACAGACACAGACATAGAAGGACACCCAGATACAAGTCCCACACACATCAAGAACAGTGCTCCCAGGGACACTGTGGGTAACAAGCAGATGCACCCATTGGCACGAATGCATACATGCAGACACCCAGGTACACACTAGGACACACACATGCAGAAAGAGTATGCAGACATCCGCAGAAAGTCCTGGACACAAGAGAACACAAGAACAACAGAGACAACCACATAGCCAAAAGTAGACTCATGTATACAGCAGCCACACTGACAGAAACACGTGTACAAATGGTCATATATAGATAGATACAGCCATCCAGAGAGAGGCACACACACACAAAATCTCACTCACTCACACAGACACACATTCACAAAGAAATTCCCTAATGAGGATAAACAGATCCGTATCCACAGGAATGTGGTGATGAATGTGTAACATCTGCTTCTGAGAAAAAAGTGCATTTGGATTACAGAAGTTCATTACACACTTCACTGATATAAAGGATGTGTAGCATGCAGCTTACAGATGATAATAATATATACAGTGGTCTCTATTGTAAACTTCGCATAGCCAAATGATTCTCAAAGAATGCTTTCATTAGTTTTTGCTTTAACTCTGATGTGTCAAGATTTGTATAAAATTTCAACATATTTGTATATTGCAACCAAGCAAATCCAATTCTGTGTGTATACGCAATAGAAATGAGGGCATTTTTCCTTCAAAATATACAGTTGATCCTTGAACAACCCAGATTGGAACTGCATGGGTCCATTATATGTGGATTTTTTTTTTTTAAAGATTTCGTTTATCTATTTGATAGAGAGAGACACACAGCGAGAGAGGGAACACAAGCAGGGGGAGTGGGAGAGGGAGAAGCAGGCTTCCCGCTGAGCAGAGAGCCTGATGCGGGGCTCGATCCCAGGACACTGGGACCATGACCTGAGCTGAAGGCAGACGGTTAATGACCAAGCCACCCAGGCGCTCCTGGATTTTTTTTTTATACAGTACAGTACTGTGAATGTATTTTCTCTTCCTTATGATTTTCTTTTTTTTAAGATTCTATTTATTTTATTTGAGAGAGAGAGAGCACAAACAGGGGCAGGGAGGGGCAGAGGCGGAGGGAGAAGCAGACTCCCCGCTGAGCAGTGTGCCCCAAGTGGGGCTCCATCCCAGGACCCTGAGATCATGACCTGAGCCAAAGGCTGACACTTAACGGACTGAGCCACCCAGGTGCCTCCCTGATGTTTTTCTTAATAACATTTTCTTTTCTCTAGCTTACTTTATTATAAGGATACAGGAGGTAACATACAAGATATGTTAATCAACTGTTTATGTTCTCAGTAAGGCTTTTAGTCAATAGTAAACTATTATTAGTTAAGTTTTAGGAGAGTCAGAGTTTACATATGGATTTTCAACTTTAGGTTGGCACACCTAACCCTCATGTTGTTCAAGGTCAGCTGTAGGATTATAGGTTTATAAGCAACTTTATTGATAATAACCAAGAACCTGAGACCACCCACAGAGCTATCAAAGGAGACATGCCTAAATAAATTATATGGCCACAAAATAGAAGAAAACACAGCAATGAAAACTACTCCTTCATGCGACAGTGCAGATGAATCTCCTAGAAAACGACAGAGAGTGACAGCGATACGAGTCAGAGACAAAGTAGTACGTGCTGTAACCTTGTAGAAAGGTTAAAAAAGAGGTGAAACTAATATATGGTGAGAAAGGACAATGGTCATCTTTGTGCAGGGCTGTTGAGAACGTCCTGTGACTTTGTATGGGTCGGGTTTATATGTGTGTTGACAGGCAAATATTTGTCAAGGCACACACTTAAGATTTGTCCATTTTATCTTTTTATCTATATAGAAAAAAAGATAAATAAATACAATGCACAACCCATAGCATAAAAAAGAGCATAGCAAAGGGCACCTGGGTGGCTCAGTCGTTAAGCATCTGCCTTCGGCTCAGGTCATGTTCCCGGGGTCCTGGGATCGAGCCCCACATCGGGCTCCCTGCTCCGCGGGAAGCCTGCTTCTCCCTCTCCCACTCCCCCTGCTTGTGTTCCCTCTCTCGCTGTGTCTCTCTCTGTCAAATAAATAAAATCTTTAAAAAAATAAATAAAAAATAAAAAAAGAGCAAGATTAGAATTTCTTTATGAACCTCACAGATTACAAAACCCTTTACACCTCAGAGGAATCCTTTATTCAGAAATTTTGCTTATTCTTTTTTTTTAAATTCATAATTTGACACCTTACATACGTGTCACTAATTATAAATACATTTTATGCTTGATTTTGAAATCTATATGAATGGAATCTGTGCTTTACTGTGGATTTAAGCATTTGTGAGATGAATGTATCACTTGTTTATTATCATCCTTTATTTATAATATGTGTTTTATTTATTTTTTAATATTTTTTTAAAGATTTTATTTATTGATTTGACAGAGAGAGAGAGACAGCGAGAGAGTGAACACAAGCAGGAAGAGTGGGAGAGGGAGAACCAGGCTTCCTG